GATCCAGACCAGGAAGAGACATGTTGTGAAGAGACTTGACAAAGAGTTATTCAACAACAAGCCGCTTGATTTCTGATAGATTTATGTTGTTTGCAAAACCAATGAAGGGAATGTGAATCTAAAGCGCATATCAGAATTCTGGAAGCTCTTGGAATCAGCAAATTGTTATAAGCTTTTTTTGTTTTTTATGAATGTTTAAGGGGTGTGTGGCATGATCATGGGCGTAAATCTGATTTAACAGTAGGGGAGACAGTAAACATAAAATTTCTTTCCAGCATTTTTTTGAAGGGGACACAAATAATACAGCCGATTTGTACTAAGAAAGAAATGTCCCCGCAGTTCAAAATGGTTTCATCATTATTAGTATAGCATGGAGACTACGCCATTATGATTAGCTTTAAAGTTTTTCTCAGGTTCAATAACAAAGCAAATTTTTCTATTTTTTGCATTGTTTGTTGTGTTGTTTACAGTCAACAGACTGACTCCTGAAGCAGAATAAATTGGAAGGGAGGGGATATGTCCCCCCCATCCCCCCCGGGATTTACGTCTCTGGGCATGATATTATACAGTGCTCAGGGTAAATGAGTACACCCTCTTTTATTAAACCGTTATGTCCGTTAAAATACGAGTTTGGCCACCTAATATTATTTAGGAATACAAAGATAATTCATTTTATTTCAAAAGAGTTATTGCAAATTAAAAAAACTAATAAATAGAAATGAACAGTTGAAGTCAGAATTATTAGCCCCCCTTGACATTCTTTCTCTTTTTTTTATATTTTCCAAATGATGTTTAACAGATTCAGGAAATTTTCACTGTATGTCTGATAATATTTTTTCTTATTTGTTTTATTTCAGCTAGAATGAAAACGTTTCTTAATTTTTTAAACACCATTTTAAGGACAATATTATCATCAATATGATCAATATTATCATCCCCATTTAGGCAACTTTTTTTTCGATAGTCTACAAAACAAACTAGGGCTGCACGATTAATCGAAAAAAGATCATGATCTCGATTCGACCCTACACACGATCTTAATTCAGCTTTTCTACCATTCAGCCAATCATATTTTCAAGGTCAGGAGAGAAGCTTAAAAGTGGTCGCACAAGTCTTCACAGCAACACTGACACCTTCAAATGGCGTTAATGTTGTTTTAATTAATGTTATTTTTCATTTTAATTAAATTAATTAAATGTAATTAATTATTTTTTATTTAAATTATTTATTTAAATTAATACATTTTATTTTTTGAATTAATAAATAACATTTATAAAAAATAATTTATTTATTTGTTTTATTTTGTTTATTTAGTCTTTAAATTAGCTGTTTTCTTGATTAAAACCATTGCTTTATTTATTTCTACCTAACAGATGCTCTTCTCGCGGATTTGGAGTCCACAACCTCCCACATTTCCAAACAAGGTGTTTTTCTGCCAGAAGAGACGCCATATTCCTGCCCCAGAGGAAGCGACTCTTATCAGGACGTGTCGTCTCCGCCTCGAGTAATCTCCCCTCCTGCTGAAACTCTGAATGGATCTTGGGTAGAAAAACCAGAATCAAAGCACTCATCAACCCAGGTAAAATGCATCATCATTACTTCCTGAAGGGTTTTCTGTTGCTCTTTATATGAGTCTCCTTGGTTATCCTTTAACCTTATGACAAATACCAGATGCGGCCTGTTCCACTTTCTGCTTGTTTTGCCCTCAAGCAAAGCACTTCATCTTTGGTTGCTCCAGAGGCTTGTGCCATTAAGCAGGTTCAGGAGATTCAAGGTTATATTTGTTAGATCTGCATAATACATCTAAAAAGTATCGTTATCTTGATAATAGTATATGCAATATACAGTTGAAATCAGAATTAGTAGCCCTCCTGGATTATTAGCCCTCCTGTATTTTTCCCAATTTCTGTTTAACGGAGAGAGGATTTTGCAGCACATTTCTGAACATAATAGTTTTAATAACTCATTTCTAATAACTGATTTCTTCAATATTTACCATAATGACAGTACATAATATTTTACTGGATATCATTTCAAGACATTAGTACTCTGCTTAATGTGACATTTAAAGGCTTAACCAGTTAAACTCTGCGGACCCGGTACTGGGTCCGTGACGTCATCAACTTTCACTTTAAGATTTAAAGGGCTAGCATTGCACCAGACCCCCATAAGTGGTTTCGTTTGAAAGTGTAGAATCTATATTTTATCCACATATGCATCACTTTGGTTTTTATTCTATTGTACAAAAGTTATTTACTCTTAAATACACAGTATTTTGGATACCCGAGCTGGGTATTGAACATTGTTTCATTTTCATATTGTTCATATATGACACATGTACAAGTTATAGCTCAAATGAAAGCTCTTGCCGGTGCTCATACGGTTCTAGCATTCTTTTTACTGAATTATATTCACATATTAAATAGTTTTCGAATGAATCGCGGTGTCTCCATGGCGCAGGAGTAAAAGCAATACATTTATGACCAATAAGCAGCCCCAGATAGCACAGACAGCTGTCATCTCTTACCTTATGCTGTGCTATTCAGGGCCAATTCTCCACTGTTTTTGAGGTGATGTGTTTTGTGTTTACCTCATGGTTAAAGTTGGTGCACGTCTGCCGGTTCCTGCCTCAAAATGAGCGAGTTTAAGCCACTTGTACATTAAGGAAGCGTTCAGAAAAAAAACACACCAGTGAAGAAACTCGACACAGATGAACAAACACCTCACTGCCAACCAGCGTTTTTGCAGAACAACAGAAACAGCGCGCAGAAGTCTAAACGCACAGCTACGCGCGTTGCATGCGCCGTGGGTCATGCCAATCACTTGACACAGGAGTATAAACCAGACTTTAAGCGGCTGTATATCTCTTCATAGCAATCCCTAAATTGCTATTAGCTATAAATAAGCAGGGGAATTCTCGAGATCTACCTGAGCTCAAACTCCCCTCTTGTCCTGCAAACAGGAGGGAGCCCCGTGCTCGAGGATCTTCTGAGCTCTTATGAGCTGCCAAATACACTTTTTAATCATCAGCTAAGTGTAAACTCTTGAAATGACTTGTAATTCTGAAATTTTAGTTCTGATTTGGTAAAAAGTATTTTTATTATTTGTTTTACCAGGTGAAAAAAGTCTGAATTATTAGTGAAAATGTTGCAATTTAATTTGCTTTCATTTGTAAAGTTAATGTACTTAATTGTAAAACATTTTTCTTTTCTCAGTCTTTCAACTCCGCCCCGAAAAGCAGCAGCCCTCGCGTGTCGCAGTCTGAGGAAGAGCACGTCTACAGTTTCCCCAACAAACAGAAGTCGATTGAGTCTCCCACCGCCGTCATGAACTCCTCTCTGGGCAGCAACCTGTCAGAACTGGACCGTCTGCTGCTGGAACTTAACGCTGTGCAGCACAGCACTCCCTCTTTCCCTGCTGAAGGTCAGTTTGTAAAGCACCAAATCATCACATGTGCACTTTTGACATGGATATCAAACAATCTAATAAAGTGTTTCCCGACCCTGTTCCTGGAGGCACATCAACAGTACTTGTTTTGGATGTCTCCCTTATCGGACCCTTTCATTCCAGGTTTTGCAGTCTCTTCTTATGTTCTGATGAGGTGATTAAGGAGTGTTTGATTAGAAAGAGGTTGAAAATGTGTACTGTTGGTGTGCCTTCAGGAACAGGGATGGGAAACATGTTTTCTATTGTTTATTTATTGGTTGGTTAGGGTTATAACTGTTCCAGATGTGATGTCTTGGGTTTGACAGTGGCTGCATCCAAAATCGCATACTTCCATACTATATAGCATGTTAAAAACAACATCCGAGACAAGTAGTATGTCCAAATTCATTGAACGTTCATAGCAAGTACATTGATGACTGACTACTTCCAGCAAGATTCTGAAGTGCACATCCAATGTATGCTACACTATCCCATGATGCAATACGAGAGAATTCATGAACGGGAGTAGTACATCAGAGTGCCATTCATACTGCTCACATTCATACTATATAGAACGTACTTTCCTAACAGTCGTGTAGTTAATTCAAACGTAGTACATACTGAGTAGTAGGCGATTTTGGATGCAGTCTATTTCTAGTTTTCTCTTATATTTCCTGTGTGATCTGATGAAGACCTTGTAGGGCAAAACCTTGTCTCTTGAGATCTAGAGTGGCAGTCTGCCGAATTATATTTCTTTTTTTACTTTTGTCTCTTTTGTTTGGCTTGATGGAGCATCTGCCTATAAGGTTTTCTTAGATGTGCACACACTGATGTCTTTCTTTCCATTTCTATTTTCTGTTGCATAGAGACCTACCCACCCAAACCAGCCAGCAACACCCAACGATATGTCCCTGAAAACGGCGTCTCATCAGTAGTGAAAGCAGCTCCTCCGAAGATAGAGAAGCCCAAGCGCAATATACCTGCAAAGGTGATCGAAGAGGTCAGGCCCAGTGTGGAAAGCCTGTTAAATCAGTTGGAGAGCTCCGTCCCAGCTGCTGTGTAAGCTTACACATTAATGCAATACAAATATGTTGTTGTTATTTGTATGTTTTTTGTAAAATTTATGTTTATTAAGAAACCAATATGATTGCATGTTTTATATTGTATGTTTGTTATAGCTTTTGTCATGAATATAGCCAATGTTGCTGATATGGCATTAAAACATGCATACATGCATACATACATAAATATAAATCAATCAATCAATCAATCAATCAATAAATTAATAAATCAATGAGTGTAAATGTTGAATGCAAAGTGAAATTTTCAGGTTTCTGATTTGGACCTTTTCTTACATCCAGTTTTCATCTTTATTACACTTTTAGCCCTGTCTCATCAGTGCCGATGGTTTCAGAGTTGAGAGGAGTTCAGGAAGAGACTCCTGCCCAGCAGCAGGCCCGAATCTCAGCTTCTTCAGCCACACGAGAACTCGACGAACTCATGGCTTCACTGTCCGACTTCAAGGTTCAGAGCAATGTAAATATTGCAGAAACATTTACTATTATTCATCATCTTTCCTATAAATGTCTAATTGAATTCTTGAATATGATTTACTGCACAACCACGCAATCCACTTGTTAAGTCGTGACGTATGTAATACTGTTTCTGTTTCTAAGCTGCTACTCAGTTGAATTGAGAAAAATTGTTTGCTTTGTAAATGTTTATTTTTACCATATGTAGAGTCTCCCCGTACAGTTTGATAGAGGGGTTGGATCCAGAATTTGCTTCGTGTGACGTCAGACTTGAGAAGCAGATAGAAAATTTGTCCACGTTTAAAGGGATAGTTCAACAAAACACAAACATGTATTCATAATTTACTCTCTGTCATGTGGCTTTAAGCTTTTATGAGTTTCTTTACTCTGTTGAACACAAAAGAAGACACTGCTGTGACCTATTGACTTTAATCATTACCTTTTTTATACTATTGAAGTCTATTATAGGTGCCAGCAACCAGCCTTCTTCAAAATCTTCTTTTGAAGAGAAGAAGGAAACTCAAATAGCTTTTGAACAAGTGATGAATGAAGTAGGGTCTGTCTGCTGACTGCAAGACTGAGGCGTAACATGAAGGGGTATAACATGTAGTACGTTAGAAGCGTAACTTGAAGTTATGAAGACTCACATGTCAAAACTATGTTGTCGGCAAGATGCCGCTGTACATCAGTTATTAACGTCTACACCTACTCCACACCTAAACCCAAAACCCAACCATCATAATTATTAACGTCTATACCTTCCCCAGCCCTAAACCTAACTATCATAGTTATTATTGTCTACACCTTCCCCAACCTTAAACTCAACCATCACAGTTATTAACGTCTACACCTACCCTAACCCTAAACCCAACCATCACAGTTATTAATGCCTACACCTTCTCTAACCGTAAACCCAACCATCATAGTTATTACCGTCTACACCTTCTCTAACCCTAAACCAAACCATCATATGTAATAATGACTATGCCTTCCCTAACCCTAAACTCAACCATCACAGTTATTAACTTCTACACCTTCTCTAAACCTAAACCCAACCATCACAGTTATTAACGTCTACACCTTCCCAATAAGGTGTAAAAAAAAAAGGTGTAAAAAAAAAATTACTAATGCTTTCCTTCTTAGACTTTACAGACCTGAAACTTGCCTATAGCACTTATTCATTGTTGCTCTTATAGTTGTGTAAATTGCTTCCGTGTCCTCATTTGTAAGTCGCTTTGGATAAAAGCATCTGCTAAATGACTAAATGTAAATGAAAATATAAACCCTTTACCCAACCATCAGTTATTAACGTCTACACCTTCCTCAACTCTAAACCCAACCCTCAGTTATTAACGGCTACACTTTCCCTAACCCTAAACCAAACCATCATATGTATTAACGTCTACACCTACCCCAACCCTAAATCCAACCATCACCGTTATTAACATCTATACCGTCCCCAACCCTAAACCCAACCATCAGTTATTAATGCCTACCCCAACCTTAAACCCAACCATCACAGTTATTAACGTCTACACCTTCCCCAACCCTAAACCCAACCATCACAGATACTAACGTCTACACCTTCCCCAACCCTTAACCCAACCATCACAGTTATTGTCTACACCTTCCCCAACCCATAACCCAACCATCACAGTTATTAACGTCTATACCTTCCCCAACCCTAAACTCAACCATCACAGTTATTAATGTCTACACCTTCCCCAACCCTTAACCCAACCATCACAGTTATTAACGTCTACACCTACCCCAACCCTTA